CGGCGGCGGGGGAGGAGGGGGAGGGAGACCCCAGCCCAGGGTGAGAGGCAGGGAGTGTGAGAAGGGGCAAGACGGGGGTGGACCCTCGAATGCGGGCGAGGCAAGGATGGGCCGGGGGACTGGAGTGGATCGGGGAGGCAAGTGCCGGGATGCTTGTGCCATATTGGATGGGAGGAAACCTTATTGGCGTGCCCCCGGAGACTGCTGCGAGCCAGGGTAGGCGGGCGGCGGCCAGCAGCGTCGCGGGGTGGATCTGGGATCTGCCTGTTTACGTCTGCCCGGTGCCAGACGCTAAGTCCACCGCTGTCCCCCTCTCGTATATCTAGTCCGCCCGCCTCGACGCGTCCTCTCCCCGTCCTCCCCTCCGCTTCTCCGCAATGGCCGACCTCTATCCACAGACGTACTCCAACCGCCAGCCCTATCACCGCCAGGACCCCCCGCCCCAGCAGTCCTACTCCCTCTCCAACACCGCCTCCCTCGTATACCCGCCTCCCCTCCTCTCCTCCGTCCCCCAGCCTCTCCACGACGACGACCCGCCCTCGCCCCGCGATGCACATTCCCAGTCTCCATCCCGCGACTCCCAGTCCCCCAAGCGCGACACTCCCCCCGCCCAAAAGTCTGACCCCGCCGGCCCCCAGACCGCAAAGCCCCAGGCGACCTTCTTGACAAAGCTCTACGCGTACGTCTGCCTCCTCCCTCTCCCTCTCCCCCTCCCCCCTTGACGCGTCCAAACAGCCTCCTCGAACGCCCAGAAAATCACCACATGATCCGCTGGGATCCCGCCGGCGAGCATATCATTGTCGAGCGCCCTGAGCAGCTCGCCCTTCATGTTCTCCCCAGCGTCTACCGCCAGTCCCGCTTTGCCAGCTTCTCTCGCCAACTGAACGTATGTCCTCCCCACGCGTCTCTCTCCTCTCTCCCTTTCCCTCACCCCTCTCCCCCTCCTAGATCTATGGCTTCATGCGCAAGGTCAATCTTCGAAACGTCGACCCGGCCATCGACGATCCCGATGCTAGCACTTGGTGTACGTCGCCTGTCCCCCCCCTCCCCCCCTCTCATCTCTCGCTCACTCCTCATCTTAGCTCATCCCACCCTCAACCGTCACTCGCCCGCCGAGATCGTCGCAAACTTCAAGCGGCGCGTGCCGCCCCGCCTCCCAAAACCTCGCAAGCGCGACGACACAAGCGTCCTGCCGCCTCCCCGCTCTGCAGTAGGCGTCAGCCCTCTTCCGCTGTCTAGTCCAGACCCTCTGGGCCAAAACAAGGGTGCTCGTGCGCGCGGTTTCTCTGCTCCTGGCTCGTTCACTCCGCTTAACCAGCCTGGTGCAGCTGGTTGGAACACAAGCTATCCCCGCAGTACCCTCCCTCCCCTCACCGTCCCGTCCGACCCCGTCTCTTCCCATGGCACAATGTACTCGCACTCGGCCCATCCCCTCAACCCCATCACCCCAACCGAGGAAACGCCGTCTTCTGCCTCTTTCAGCCCCCTCACCTACACCAACCCTGCACGCGACACCATGATGCTGCCGTCCCCCTCATCCCAGTATCCGTACGCCGAGCAGACCAGCAGCTGGCAATTCTCCCCGACCAGCACCGCCTCGTCCCACTCGTCCGGAAGCCTCTCTAGCTTGCTGAACCCCAGCAGCAGCGTCAATGGAGGTTATTCTAACGCCTCCCGTCCGACCCCTCCAACGATCAACACGTACTCCTACTCTGGTGTCCCCATGGCCAGGAGCCACCACAGCGCTGCACCTCTCTCGCCGGAAAGCCGCCCGACCTCGGGCTATTCCGTGTCGTCGATGGCATCTCTGCCCCCCTACGATGATTCGCAGCATTATTCCCACCACGACTACTCGCGGCCCAACTCCAGCCACCAGTCTTCTGTAGTGCGTCCGCTGACACCGTCCTCGTCGCGCCCACCATCTTCTAGGTCGTCCTACAACACGGGCTCTCTGAGCATCCGACGGGCGCGCCGCCACAGCCAGGCGATGCCATACCCGTCTCCGTACGCGGAGCATCCGCCCCAGTCGGCAGGCTCGGAGCGACCCTCGAGCTCCCCGCATCCGTCGGACGAGCACAACGGAATCCCCCGAGTGCGAAGCATGATGCAATTGCCTTCGGTAGACGGGTATGGCTTCAATCCCGCTCAGGCGGACTTTGCGTACGCGGCGGTGGACGAAAGCCACGGTGCACATGCCATGTACGGTGCGAATGGCATCGCCGGGCGCAGCCTGCGGCCATCGACGTCCGCGTCCTCTCTGTCGACGAGCAGCTCTGCGGCTAACACGCCTGGTGGGGATGGGTACGGGGCGGGGGCGGGAGAGGCAGATATCAGCCGATGTGAGTGAGTCCGCTTCACAATGTGTGTGTGCCCGGCCGCCGCCGATAGCTGCCGACTGTGTGCGCCGGCCCGACGGGGTACCGGTGTGTGCGGGGGGGGAAGCGGCGCTGGCTGGCCTGTAGGAGTAGCTCGCTGACGATTGTGCTTTTTTGTGGTTGTGTGCGCATCAGTCTCACCCGACTTCGGCTTCGTGCAGATGAACGAACACCTCCCGCAATACGCTAAGCCGGACCTCTAGAGCCCGCGCACCGAGGACAGGAGCGGACCAAAACAATGAACAGTCGCTACGCGGAAACCAGACGTCCACGTCTGGTGGATCGCTGTGTGCGTATGCTTGGACACTTTCCTTTCTGTCGACTCGTTTGTCTCTCGTTGGTTTCCGCTCGTCGATATTGTTTCCTTCCATCGTACGTCGGTGTCGTGATACACGACTGTCGTTGCCCCCTCGTTCCTTTGCCGCATTCCCATGTCCATCATACCCATCTTTCCATCACTGAGCCGGGACGGAATTTTCCTGCCTTCTCCCAACTGTCGCCTGTTACCATTGCCGTGTGTTGTCCGTCCGTATCATCTCCGCCAGTTGCCGCTCTGTCGCTGTTCTCATGTGTCTACTTTCGTTGCTTTCTCATGTCCATTTCGTCGGTTGTCCGTGTTCTGTATACTGCACATTTCTCCGTTTCGCGTCGCATGTACCTTTTCCCTATACCAAGATGCGCAATGATATCCCAAGTTGTCGTTCTGTTGTTCGCTGATGGTCTGCGAGCGTGATGTTCTGTGCTGTTCTGCTCTGCTCCAGGCATCAGATAGGGCTGATTCCGATGGTATCCCGTTCTATTCAGCCAGCTTGCCTTTTCCGAGAGCGTGCGTCGTCCACCAGACTCAGGACCAGCCCCGGGGGCTGGGTGGTGGTGTCTGGTGTGAGGTCGTGTGCTCGATAAGGAAGGCACTTCCAGAAATAGCGCGTGCGCACGGGGCTGAGTCACCCAGGCGCGATTTGATTCAGAGGCGGCGGCGATTTCGATGTGCGCTCGAGCGTGATCGCGTCGAGCAAATGCGTCCACAGCTCGCGGCCACACCCTTTCTCGACTTTTTCGCCCGCAACGTCCACGGCCACTGCTTTTTTCTCTTCTAAACCACCGTCTTTGGCGACACTCCAGTGCGTGCGGACATCAACGCCTATTCGACCATGGACGACGACGACGACAGGCTCAAACGACTCATCAACCAATGCAAGGCAGGCGGTCCGTCGTCTCTTTTCTGCGCGCGTGCTGGCCATCGCTGCTTACCCCCGTCTGCTGTGGCAGATATCGATGCGAGGGTGGACGCTATCACAAAGCTGCAGGCCGCGTTCGAGAGCGGAGCCGAGGTACGTCCCCGCCGCCATCCACGGCGACCGACCGACCAGCTCACTCTCCTACTCGCGCCCTGCCCGCGCCCGCTGCCGCCGCGCGCAGATCACCGACCCCGACGCGCTCCTCGCCGCACTCAAGACGTGCCTCCGCACGCCCAACC